AATTCTGCGCGATCTCGTTGGCCAGCTTGGCCATTTTTGGGAAATAGTATTCCGACAATACCTGCTTTACATTTTCTTGCGCTGCTCTGTGCGCCCTATTATGTTCAGCAGTTAAGATTTCCCTTCTTTCTTCGATTCTGAGTACGTTCACGACACGGTTCCTGCAATGCCAGAACTTTGTGGCTGGGAACCTCCGGACTATCTCATCTTGTATCATTGCGAGCGTGTGCAAATCGCAATGGATGGCGTTTACGGCCCTTGGGACGATTATGTCTACCAGTTCGTCTAATAAAGATCCCCTGTCGACGAAGTTAACCGTGTGGCGTCTTTTATTCCCGAATAGAATAAAGGTAGTTTTAGACGGGGAACGTGCTTCTTCCAGTATTATCTGGTTCTGGAAGCAGTTCAACGGCTTGTCTGTCGACTCGATTGTGTGGGTGAGAGACATCTCGCTGTGAATCGTTGCTGCACAAGACTCGGGCTCTTCTTGTTCCAGCACATTAAGCTGCTGTCTGGACAAGGCGTCCGCTACCAGGTTCTCTTTACCGGGCTTGTAGAACAGTCGAGCATTGAACTCGTCTATGCGGGCCTTCCACCTCTTAATTTTTGCGTTCGGGTTTGATTCCGACACAGAAAATGTTAACAGCTGATGGTCAGTGAAGATATTTATATCTTTCACTCCATACAAGTAATGCCGCAGTTTAGCCAGGGCCCAATAACTCGCGCTCGTTAGTCGCGTAGTTGGCTTCACTGTCTTTAAGGGTTCTTGAAATCATTGTCAAGAGGGCCGGCACTCTTGAGACAACACCGCACCTATACCATGGGCTAAAGCATCTGTCGTTAGATCAAATGGCTTCTTATAGTCCGGGTAGCTGAGCATGACGTCTTCTGATGCCAATATATTGCGCAGCTTTTGGAACGCCTCTCGCTGGGACTCAGAGAAATGCACCTGAATGTTTCTTGATCTATGCCTACTAACTGTTCCATTCTCGCCCTTTAATAAGTTTGAGATGGGCCTTGCTATAGCAGCGAAGTCTCTGATGAAACACCTATAGTAGCTCGCGAGGCCCAGAAACGATCTGACTTCGAATAACGTCTTAGGCTCTGGAAATTCTTTTATGGCCTTGACTTATTGGTGACTATGAACCCAAGAAAGCTCACACTTTTCTTAAAAAAACGCGATTTCTCGATTGAAACTATCATGTTCGCTTCTTGTAAGCTCTTTAACACCCACTCTACATGTTTGATGTGAGCCTCCTCGTCTTGCGAGAAGATGATCACATCATCAACATAAACATAGCAAAATTTGCCTATTTGTTCCCGTAAGATGTCATCGATCGTTCGCTGGAAGATGCCGGCGGCGTTCCTGAGGCCGAACGGCAATCTCTTAAACTCATACTTTCACCCGTTTACCGAGAAAGAAGTTTTCTCGCGATCGCGCTCCGCTAGTACGACCTGATGATATCCTGATTTGAGATCCAGTGTCGAAAAATAGCGGGCTTTACCCAGCCTAGTATCATTGATATATTTGGCATGGGGTATTTGTCGGGAATGGTGTGCTCGTTAAGCTTGCGAAAGTCTATCACCAAGCGCTTCTTGCGGTTGCCCGCATCATCGGTGCCCTTTTATATCTACTACCCATATGGGGTTGTTGTAGGGAGATGCCGATTTCTGAATTATGTCGTTTCTTAGAAGATCTTGGATCTCCTTATTAACGAAGTCGGCTACGCCCATGGGATATGGGTATAGCCTGGCATAAATGGGCTCTTCGCTTACCGTTCTGATGGTGGCGACCACCGCACCGAAGTATTGTATGGCAGGGCCTCGTTTGGGTCTGCAAAGGCCTTTTTTCTGGCCTTTAATAATTTTTGAAAAGTCTCCCGCACTGGTCACTTGCCTTGTGTTCTCTTTCTTCAATGCTCCTCGCGAAGTTGGCAGCGAACGCATATCTTTCATGGTTCGATTCCACCTGTTGCGCGAGCGCCAGAGCTGACGGCAAGTCCCTTGGCTTTGCTGAAAACAGCACATCTGTGAGACTACGCTTGAGTCCCGAAACAAACACACGTAGTGCATCTTCGCGGAACTTTTCACAAAGGCCCTTTGCTAGGACCGGATTGTATGACATGTTGACTTTATTAGTCAACAATGTAAGTTTTTTGCCGACTTCATCGTAATATTGCCGTAGAGACATGCTGCCTTGTCTCAGCGTGCCCAACTTCTGCTTGATTACGTGAATTGGACGTTTGTCGCTTTACGTGAAGTCGAGGCGACCTATAATCGCGTCAAAGTTAAGTACTGTGCCGAAAGAGGCTAGAACAACGTCCGCGGCCCCCTGATTTTGTTTCTTATAATTATAACCGCCTGATAATGGCGTGAACTGCCGTCGTACGGCTTAAAAATACGATAGGCTGCGAGAGCCGCCTGTCTCCATGAAACATACGATTCATGTACGCCTGCAAACTCGGGCAAGCATTTGACGGCATCCAATGCCTCGTCGCAGCGGATATCATTTCTTATCTCTATGGGTGCATAAGCTTGCCCCTCTGGTGGCGTAATGTGCGCTGCCGCCAGTTGCTGAGAGATTGAGTTGACTTTGTCAAGCAAGGCCTTATTTGCAGCGGTTTGCTCAGCTAAGGCGGCGGTGACGGCTGCCTGTATTACGAGTTTCAACTGGTCTGGGTCCATGACGCTGTCTGTAGGACGAGGTGGGGGTGAGGGTGTGCGTCTTGGCACCGGAAAGCGAATGCGATGATTGTCGCAATCAGAGTCAGAATCACTACACTGTCGGCGAGTGGTTCTATAGAAAAGGAAGGGTGAAGTCATATGCCTCTAATATAAACAACGAAAACTCGAACACAACGCTTGAGGATGGAGGCAACAAAGCTGCAAAATTCCACGGATCGTATTATGTTGAACGACCAAACCAAACAAACGAAACAAAGGCAGACGGAAAAAAATATTTGTGCGCGCATGCATTTGGTGCGCCGCTTTTAGTAATTACTCAACAAATGTTTATATATTTTTGCTGCCAATAGTTTACTATTTTCCGTCAACTTAATCCACAACTAGTTTCACGTATTTTAAAATTATTTAATTTTAAAAAAATTATTTAATTACATTTAAGACAAGACACTTGCAAAAACTGTGCTTATATGCTTATTTTTATTTCGCAGGTTTAAGAGCAGTTTAAAGAAAGGTGCCCACTTACATTTTTTGGTGTTGTGTTGCGTTTCAAACTGAAGTCGGTGTCTGTTGTTGTACACTGCTTGTCTCTGCCTCCCCGCTGTCCAGATAGCATGCGCGCTAATCTGGCGATAAGTCGCTGCCCGAAGAGCTCCAGCGGCTTCGGTGTTACGTGAAATTAAATTTGCGCTATAGCGCACCTCAGCCAACTGCACTCAAGAAGCGAGTTTAATGACGTTTCCGCTGTGCTGCCTGTGTTGACGTAGGTCAGCAGCAGCCACTTGTCAGATTGTTCTGTTGTAAGCAACAGTGATCACAAGCACTTGTTTTTGTTGTTGGCACTTGATGTTTGTCACTACAGCCCTGTTGACGTGGCTGAGTTTTATTCACTTTTAGTTAGATTTTAGATTTTTAGAGATTTTTAAGTTTGTTTGTCACTAAGCCCTGTTGACGTGGCTGAGTTTTATTCACTTTTAGTTAGATATTAGTTTTTTTTTTTTTTTGAGATTTTTAAGTTCGTGGGTAATGACTAACGCACTGTCAAATACCACAGGTTGGGCGCCAATTATGAAAGGTTGGCCGGCGGTTAACGCGCGCGGCTTTTACTAATCAGATGTCAGGCGGAGCCGTGACAATAAAAGATTAGGAGTTTACTTTTTTAAGCTTTATTTTACCGAGCCAAGCAGAGCTGTAGCGTCGGAGACAAAATCAGAACTGAATATAAGATACAAGAATTCAAACTTAGGAGCTAGCATGAAAACGAAACATATTGTTGCGATCTCATATTCGTAGCGGCCACGCTATAAGCAGTGTCCGCTACGTATCGACATCCGGCATAATGCTTACGTTGCAGTATGCCGATGTTGTCGTATTTCATGCGCCCGTGGGAGCGACGTTAGCTTTAGTTAACTTACATATTGTTCTTGGGGTGTTACAAAAGAGGTAAATGGTACACTCTGTGAATCTACGCATATTTGGAGAAAGCCGCTCTTAAAATACATTATCGAAAAACACATCTTGCCTTCTAAGTATTCTAAGCAGTCTTCAATTAACGGTAATGGGAAATGATATTTTAGTATTCGTTTTTTAAGTCCTCTATAATCTACGCACACTCTTAGTTCACCAGATTTCTTTTTTATCAAAACTATGGGAGATTTACTATTCCAAATTACATTTTTCTTAAGAAGATCATGTATTATTACACCTACTTTTCCTTTTTCATAATATGACAAACACCTAGGTAAGCAATGGAACGACGTAGTATCTGTAACTCTAATAGTCATTTGATACGTATGTTTTGTTCCTTTAACTCATCCCCAATATATCCTGAATAGTTACTAAAATATTGTTCGTTTTCTAACTGCTTATTTTCTTGATAACTATTTATATAATTTTGAGTATAAAATTTTTTTTATATTTAAATTATTTTTACTTAAATAACTAGAATTATTTATATTAGTTTTCTTATAATAATCGGTTTTATATTTACTGGTGAAAAGAGATGCACAAAATATTTTATCACTGTCGTATTTAACAGTTTTATTCGAAAAATTACGCTGTGCATTTATTTGTTTCTTATGTATTAATTGGACTATTATTCTATTATTTTCATTGAATCTCGTCCTAGTAAAGTATCTTCTACGACTAATTACTAACTTTGTAAGCTTTTTCTTGAAAATATACAATGGACTCAATATTCGACAAGTGTAACAATGTACGGCTGTAGGTCCTTCCTGAAGGTTTATTGATTTGGTCATCTTAACGTTACTCGAACCATTCGGATTGCAGAAACAACCCGCTGATCACATATCTTTACTTTGTCATATAGGGTTATCTTCTTACGCAATTTATCAATGATTCATAAAAAGCTAAAGAAGTGGAAGTTCCCGTTTTGTCTCGGAGCACAATTGCACGAATTACATCAGAATTGATCTGGTACCTCATAGGTGTTCATTATGTGCTCAAAATCGTTTATCCAATGCTGTATCGGGTGATGATGGTCACCCATTCCGAAAAGTAATTAATTAAGGCTTCGACGTCTTCGACGTTATATCAATGACGTCATTTCTACTTGTGCTCGTCCATCCTTCCATTAGCTTAACTTCTGCTTACAGTTCAGCAATACGCTTCCAAGCTGGGTACAAGCTGGGTTTTAAATGTGACATGTAACATTGTTTAAATGTGACATCTCTAAATGTAAATATTAATTCTCTCTCGATAAATCATCCATTTGCTCGTTTCTACAATATGGTTGTCGCTTTCTTCCTCGTGCATGCTGCCATTGTTTTCGTTTACAGTTATGAGCTTCTCAAATATTTTAATTTCATCAGATTTGATCAGTGATTTACACTTATGTACAGTTTATTTAAAATTAATGCATTTGTTTACCTTTTTCTCTTTGTTTTCGTATTAGAGATTGTAGTTGTGTAGAATTGTAAGACGTCGATGGTAATCGAAATTATGTTGTGACCTGTGTGGCAAGGAGAAACCTCCGCCCTGGGAAGAGGTGAGCTAGCGAAACTGCTACAAATAAAATGAAAAGCAGTTCGTAAAACATTTTTGCATTTTTATTTTTTTGAATTCACGCCCATAAAGCGAAAAAAAAAATAAATAAAAAACATCCTCGTGTTCCATTTTCCACCGTTCCCTGTCGCCGCTAACTCATCGACGCTAATATGACGCACACCATATTTTTATTTGCGTGTAACGGATATTAAAATACCATATTTATGTTCTTAGGCATATACCTACCAGACATGTTTAACGCCACATTGCTCTTAAACATTTTAAAATATATATCATCAAAGCTGAAACAATTTTAAAAGGTTATTTATTTGTTTTGATTGGAAATGAAAATGCAAAAGGGTTTCTTCGTTGCAGGTCAAAATATAAATGGTATATGTAAACACATTTCCTTAGAAATGTTTTTTAGAATAAATACCCTTAGTGCTCTGTCTATCACCGTTCCGTTTTTGTCGCTAGTTGATTGTCGCAATTTTGACGGGTATTATTTAAGTATTACCAGAAAAAAATGTGCCGCTGAACCGGGACTCTTTACACAACGATTGTTGAATGCTTAAGAAAACTAAAAACAACATGGGTAGAAGGGAAATACAAATTGGTACAATTAAAACAGGAAAATTATAAAAATCCAAGGTAGGGAAAAGCAAAAATGTAGTTAAAAGGTAAACACGTTTTTAAAATGTCGGTCAATTTTAGGCGGTTGTTAAAATTCCAGCCATGTTAAATGTCTGCAGTATGCAATAAAAATTCGTGCAAGGAGACTACAAAAATTTTTTTTTTTATCAAAATTTAAATATACTAGTTCATTGGAATAATATAACTAAAAATGGATTGGAACTGTTATTCATCAAACTGTGGACAACTAAAGGCATATGTAGCTATTCATTTCCTGTAATTGAAGCATAAGATTTGTTTACTGAAAGTATCTTTGTATTCCATGCGACCTCATCCTTCATCAGTGTGCATTTATTTATATTTATGCATGGTATGTTGAGTTCATTTTGAAGGCTATGGAAAATATTCAAAAGAAAATATTTAAAATTTTCGTAAACGATGGTGTTGCATCAGCTGGCGCCTTCGGTTTTATATATGTTCATACATATGTACATACGCACGAATGGAAGTTTTATATGCCTCTGTATTAGATTTTTAGTCAAATATAAATTACATCTGACACGGTATGCTATCTAAGCTTCTAAAATTTGTAATCTGAAACACACAAATTTTCTAATTACGTTACATTAAAGCAGGCCTTTAAAATTAAGATTTATTGTCAATGTTCCGTCAAGTCGAATTTTTAAAAAGATAGCTACTAATAACTTGTTAATACGCTTTTGTTCTCGTATCATCGAAGGTTGATTTGGATATATAGTAATGGTCTTGGTGTGCAACGAGTGGCAACGAGACCAGACGCCAAGCACATCATCACCGATACCAGGATCAGGAGCAGTCGGATCAACAGAATTAAACAGAACAGGCACAGCCGACACGGCCACGGAATTACCTCAGACGACCAGGTATCTATCCGGGGAAGGACAAGAACCGACTGGGAAGGCTCATTACGCTTTAAATATGGAAACTGACAACAAAAAAGTGGAGCAGGACAAATTTTTTCATTTAATGGAAATAAACGAACTTGATATGGCTGATAGTATTAACGATACGGTAGCTGAGAAGCAGGAAAATAACAATATGGACGGTTGTGATTCCAACACAGAATGTATTGACCGACGTCCGGATGAAGTTTCCCAGCACGCTATAAATATGGCAATGAACTCTGTGCTGAATGCAAATAACACCGGGGTTGGAGCTCGTGTAACTACTGCCTGCAGTCTGTTCAGCCCACTAGGGCTACTAAACAATAGTGCATTACAAAGGGATGTGGCAACGGAATGCGGCACTTTACAGGTCGCTTCTGTACCCACAACTTCTACCGTAGATCTAGACATAGGATCGGAATCTGCCCCAACGGCATGTATGGATGCTGCAAAAATCGTATTACATTGCGAAGCAAAGTCTCATAAGTTTGAGACAAGGTCTATATTTTTGCCGCCGAATCAGGATTGCAAGGTGGGTCGCCTTATAGCTAAAAGCAAAGCGGGTGAGGGAAACGCTATATTTGACTGCAAAGTGTTGTCAAGAAACCATGCGATTCTGTGGTACACTCCAGATGGTAAGTTCTGGGTCAAGGACACAAAATCTAGCAACGGTACCTTTATTAACGACAACAAGTTGGGCAGTGATCCAGCGGAACTACATTATGGCGATATCGTTAAGTTCGGCGTTGAGGTAATTGAGAATTCACGCCAGGAGGTGCACGGCTGTATCCTAGCCCGTGTTGCTCTGTTTCTACCCAATGGTCAAGAGGCCATTTCAATCAAGGCAGACCAGATGCTGTTGACGGTGCCTAACCGAATCAGCTTTGACGAAGTGCAGCGCCTTAACGCCTTCCTCCAAGAAGCAGCACAAAGGGAAAAGTCTCTGAAAGCTAAATTAAGCAGCTTGCAAGGCGTCCTTGATACTACCAGAAAGAACTCTGCGATGTGTTGGCAAAGCATGATAACTGAAGACCAATTGCTGCACAAAATAAATTTTCTCGAAAAGAAACTACAGATGATGGAAAAGAACATTCCAGAGAATGCACTTCGAAACGAGGTAGGTAGATAATTGGTTTGTTGAGCAGATCGCTAGTAGGGCCGATTAAATGTTTGATTCAGACTAAATTTGTTGTAGCCTTTAGTTATGTTTAAGCCATTTCATTCATTATACGCTTGATCAGGATCACTAGGCGAGTCGATTTACCCATATCCGTCCGTCTGTCCGTATGAATGCTGTTGTGATCTCGGAACTAGAAAAGCTAGCAGATTCTAATAAAGCCTACATAATACAGTCACGCCCCGCTTTTTTTAAATATTTAGATTTGTATAATTTTAATTTGTGTCTTGGCAATTTTTATCGATATGCAAAAAACATTTTCGCCACGGCTTTTTAAATGCCCAATACAGCCGCCCCACACTTTTGAAAAGTTTCTTTGGATATGCTTAAAACAATTTGAGACGTCCTCTCTAATTCCCATAAACTTCAATAAGCTGTCACGCCATTTTTAGGTAATTTAATAAAATGTATAATAGTCAACTGCAAAATAAAAAACAATTTAAAAAAAAAATAATATTTGCACATCTTTTAAAATAAAAGATTACAAGTATTAAAATCTGTTAGTTGATGATTATTGATTTTGTTTAATACAAAAATCTTTTTTTTTTAAACGGACAAGAAAAAAAGTAAAAAAAAGAACAAATTATTTTGTTTTGTGCATTTTGATTTTGGTTTCATTTTTATTTTGATGAAAGTGTATTTTGGTACTATTCCAAAAGTCCGCCGGTAGTGACGGTAGAGTTAGTTAAATTTCTTATTGTATGTACATATTTTGTAAATGTTACCATTAATCGTCACTAAATAAGATATGTGATTTCCTTTAAAATGTTGCTGAAATGTCTAAAATAGCAATACGGTTGAGATTTATTTTGTTTATAACAAAAAAAAAAAAATTTTATTTTATTTACAAATTGTTTAATTTGTTTATAATTCGAAATAATTTCACGAGGCCATTAAAGTGTTTAGTTATTTTGTTATTTCCTTACCAGACATAGTAAATTCTTATACGAATTGAGCTTTGGTATTTTAAAATCGCTGAAATCTCTAATCAAGAAATAAAATTCGGTATCTAAACTACGGAATCACGCTTTAAGTCTTGGAATGGGTACATATGTTTTAATTTTTATCATTGTTTCTAATATACAAGTGGTTTTGGGATCTAAAACAGGATCTAAACTTATCTAAGAACTAATCAAAACTTATACAGAACGACTTTCTTCTTAGTTGATGATCGACAGTTCAAAAGGTTGAAAATTGGTCTAAAAATCTTTTTAATTATATTCTGGAAAAATTGGTTTGTTGTAATATTTCTCTTTTGTATTTAATAGATTGTAAAGCTTCTTGAGGATAAAACAACGTACCAGTTAACTGCCAAAGAGGCCCTGCGCAAGGTCTATCAGGAACGCTGCGATGCTATGCAAATGCTCTCTAAGATGGAGATGGCCTACGCCACTTCTGAAAACGAGTGCGACATACTTCGCGCTCAAGTTCTAGCACTAAAACAGACACTGAATGACTTTAATTCTCGGTTAGAGGAACTTCAGCAAGAGTACATGGAATTCAAAAAGGAGTCCGTGCGCCAAGAACAAGACGCTAAGGAACAAGAATCACTCAGTTTGGAGTTGCTAAATGGGAAGCTAACGACGCAAGAGCGCGAGCTTAAGGAGCTTCGTCTACAGGCGTCGCGAATCCATCATGTTATATCCGAGCCTGATACTGAAAATTTGAAGGAGCAAATTGTTTCAAAGCACTTAGATACAATAAATCTTGACGATAACGATTATGCTCAAGGTAATAAACGTTTAGACAATTATATATTGTCTGTGTCACAAGGTAAAGATATGTTAGACATTGATCACCAGACAGCAGATTCCGTATCACAAGAGAAGGTAATGATTATATCAGTCATCTCGGTATTATATAAATTAATATTTAATATTTCTATTCTAGAAGTTGAAACTAAGTAATCCCGATTTACAACAGGTCAGTTTAAAATCAAGCGTTTTAAAATTGCTAAAAAACTCTGATCTGGGCAAGGGCGAAGAAGGCTCTTCAGTGCTTAAAGCTATTTTTAATGGTGACGATGGAGGCTTTGAATGCAAAGTTAATGAGGATATGGCAAAAGTTTCAGTTGCAACAGAGTTCGTTAGCAAAAATACATCTGAAATCGTGAATTACCCTAACAACTATTCTTCAAGCACACATACAATTTTAAAAGATTCGGCTGCAGAGATTTATCCAGAACTTGATTTGGAAAGTAAGAAAGAGCTTGTAGGCGTTGAGGAAAATCTTAATATTCAAAATGCATTGCCGACTGAGCAGGCTATCGATATGTTACATGAGGAATGCGAAACCTACAAGAAAAAAACAGTCGATTTAACAAGTGAAATACACTTCCTGGAGGCGGAGATCGAGCTATTAAAGAAGCAACTTGGAAAAGACGTGGATCACAATTTTAAAGCAACCCTGCAGAAAATCGGAGAGGAAAACAGTTTACCGCGTGAGACTTTAGAGCTAATTGATAATGGAGATATCCCAGAAGATGTTTGGAACGAGGACATAGAAACCATTAATAATCCAAAAGTAGACAACGAAGAAGAACTAATTGTTTACAAGGAACTTCTTGAACATACGGAGCTTGACAACATGCAGCTTCGTAAAGAAATCTCGGAGCTGCAATTCAAGCAAAAACACATCCCGTTGTTTAGTAAACAAGAGATACTAAGTCGCTTTCTACCTCTTGGTTGTATTATCATCGGTCTGTTCATATATTTTCTTTCCAGTCGAATTTAACCGCTGTCATAGCTAATGAATTAAAATCTCTTATTTACACACTATTGTTCTACACTGGGAAGACAGTACATTCTGTTAATGCTTGCGTTATCGTCAAGCTTTATTAAATTTTTATTTGCTTTTGTTTTTAAAATCACTTCAAGCTCAAAATTTAAGTCGTAATGATGAAATAATAAACCAGAGAAAAAATTATATTTAACATTTTTATTTTTCATTTACTGCTTTAAGCATGGAACTTACTTCAATAAAGTGCATGCTGTCTTGATTTGGTTTCAACTATCATGCTGACAGTTTACATAAGCATTACTATTTACTATTTGGTTGTCTTAATATATTTGTAAACCTGTTTCCGAAGCCTACTAAAAAACCAATTCGAATATACTAAAAATAATATTGTATTACAACAAGATATTTTTTTTTTAATTACATTTGTGGTCCCCTTCAATCCAAAAAAATAATAGATTACCATGCATCTTTTGCACATCAACCGATATTCTTGGACAATAATAAAACTGCCGACATTTTGCTAGGGATGTTTGTCAGCAATGCAATCTTATAGGGTGTGCTCGAAAGGTATCCAGAGCTTATAGCGTCATTAGTGCGAAAACCATTTGTTTGTTAACATATCCTTCTGATATTTTCTGATAGCCACACATATTGGATACCCACTGATTTTTCATACTTGTCACTCTTTGACGTTGTGTTGCACATCCACCGATATTCTTGGCTAGTATTAAAACTGCGGAAATTTTGCTAGGGATTTGTGTAAACCCCTGTAAACCCCCCCCATGCCCTGCAATCTCATGGCATGGTGTGCTGTCCAAGGTGGTAGCTCGAAAGGTAGGAAACTCGTCGTTTATTGCATTATTCATTAGTGCGGAAACCAATACGTTTGTAAACATATCCTTCTGAAGTTTTGAGGTAGGCACACATCGGATACCCACTATATCAATATGTCAGCAACAATCATGAACAATTAACTACAAACATTGTAGCACTCGGTTGCAATGTGCAAGTAAAGAGCCAGGCCCAATTGCATGTGTAATACGAGCACCCACTTGGAGGCCACCAACATATGTAAATGCATAGTCAGCGTTCACACCCCTGACCAAAACACTATTCCTGCCCGCCCATACAACTCTTCTACCCTTAAGCGCTGAGAAACAGCGAAAGTAGTACATATATACTAAATATATAAGAGCGTCGCTCCGCTGCTGGCGTCACCGGCAGCTCTTATCTTCAATGGGAACAGGACCATCTCTGCTCCCAATCAAATAATGAACAAATAAAATAAAATTCAAGCCGAGAGTTTTTAGTATCACATAGCGTCCGTGAGAAGTTGATGGACACCAAAAAGAACTATAACAGGAATAACAACGACAACAAAGAAAAGAAGAAGAATCCCTCACTCTTAGGAGTGAATAACAAAATATCAAAAAAAGGATGACGCACATAAAGTGGCTATTATTGAGAAACAATCCACCTCCAGCGTGGGCAACAGCCCAAAGCTACAAAACGAGCTCGACTATTTAAAGTCAAGTCTCAAGCAAAAAAATCCACACACCGCAACTCAAGTATTAATGTAAAGTAAAGACAAGAAAAAGGATTCCAAAACTCTTCATTCGTTTTTCTAAGTGCGATGTCGAAGATATTGCTACCCAACTTTGAGCATTCGAAGCGTTCGTCGCCTTGTCGCGCACTTTTCATACGACTTGTGTTGATTTGCCAGAAGAGGCTATAAAGATACTCATAAACATGCCAAATCTACTATGGCAGTCTAATAGCTGTGTAGTGATCAATGATTCGCACACTAAGACTGATGAGTTAATGTATGAAATACAACAACTAAAAATCTTGTACCTAACATTAATTTCTAAATTTGAAATCGACATCCCTAAGCCTTATACATCCTAGGTTAAGAGCAACCAAGAGAAAAGTTAAAGAAACAGTAATCCAAATGCAACAACAAGCCACCGAGACAGCTCCATGTTGGATCATGAGCCCTTCACAGGGTGACTTAAATGTGACCAATGAGATATTCTACCTACCAAGTTGTTTCTGGTAGTTTAGGGTAGCCACAAAGCCGGAGGCCGTGTCTAAATTAGTTGCGAATAAGTTGAAAATTAAGATGGATTTTATGACTTGCAATACTTTTTTTGAACTTGAAGTTCCTTAGCAACATTATCAAACTGTTTTCAATATTGAATTTTTGGCCACAATCGGCAGTCTAATAGCTGTGTAGTGATCAATGATTCGCACACTAAGACTGATGAGTTAATGTATGAAATACAACAACTAAAAATCTTGTACCTAACATTAATTTCTAAATTTGAAATCGACATCCCTAAGCCTTATACATCCTAGGTTAAGAGCAACCAAGAGAAAAGTTAAAGAAACAGTAATCCAAATGCAACAACAAGCCACCGAGACAGCTCCATGTTGGATCATGAGCCCTTCACAAGGTGACTTAAATGTGACCAATGAGATATTCTACCTACCAAGTTGTTTCTGGTAGTTTAGGGTAGCCACAAAGCCGGAGGCCGTGTCTAAATTAGTTGCGAATAAGTTGAAAATTAAGATGGATTTTATGACTTGCAATACTTTTTTTGAACTTGAAGTTCCTTAGCAACATTATCAAACTGTTTTCAATATTGAATTTTTGGCCACAATCGGTTACAGTGGGTCTATTCATCCATAAGGAGTAGTACTTACTTGACGGTTGTTCATTTTTCTAAATGAGATCCATTACGAATCTCCATTCCCAGGCAGAACTAAAAAAAAACCCACCACCTTTTCTTTTCGGATTACTGCGTTTTCATCACTCTCTAGATCGGATGCGAATGCGCTTTTTGATATTATGCTCCCTTCGCTTCAAGCAGCTTCGTAGTTTCGGTGTAGTTTCAACATCTAGTACTATCATCTTCTGCTCTAAACAGCAACGAGCTTAGGCTAGGCGCGTCTACTGGAATAAAGCTCTGAGTAATGTTCTTCAAGCCGTTGTTGAACAGGAACCACCTGTTGCGCAGCCTGCTGCTCTTCATTAAATATTCTTTCATCTCCAGCGTTTGCGGTAAATGAATTCCCAAAACTTCTAAAATTACAGGTGATTACATTCAATCTGATTACATTGCCAGCGGCTTGAACTAAGGTTTTGAGCATTCATTCTGCGTAGTGGTCTCAGTGGAATCATTGGACACACCTCACTTACTTATCGTCTTCCTGCCACGGAATGCACTGCGATTTCCTACCGCGAACAAATAGCAATTACATCAACACCTCACAATGCAGCTAACAGGAGAATTGAAATTAATAGCCGTAAAATTCAATATTAGCCGTATTTTCAAAACATAACTGGCATGAGAACTAAGATAAGTCTTCTTGAATAGCTTGAACAGTTCCGATTACGATGACCTAATATTGGTTGAAATCTGGCTTATCACTAACTTTACCTGGACAGAATTTTTTGGTCTGATTCTTTTCCAAGTCTTTCGTAAGGATAGAGACTACAGTACTTTACGTACTGTACGCTTCCAACGTATTAGGCCAAGTAGCCATGTCGTTCGAGAGGCTCGAGCCCAAAAAAAGAAGAGAGAGAAGAAACTGGTGCGGAGTCCGAAGTAGAGGTCAAATTACCGCGGGTAGTGGACCCCGACCGTATCAACTGGACAGCCGGCTTTTCCGACGACTGGCGGGAAGGTTTTCGGACAAACACTTTCTTAGGTGGAGAGATTAACCTAGTAAAAGCTCACCAACAAAAGGAACCACTGTCCCAGGGGGGACATTTGCCGTATAAACCTAGTAAAAACACACCAACAAAAGGAAGCAGTGTTCCAGGTGGGTCAGTTTCCGTATGAACCTAGTAAAAGTTCGGAGTCATGTTGGCCGGAAGTAACTATATCAGGGCAACGACCAACATCTCCGCATTTTTTTTGGGGCTTAAATACTTCAGAAGCAAACTAGAGAGACGCGATCGGAAAAGAGCTCAAATAAACGCTTTGAAGAAGAAAGTGGCTGAGTTGCAAGACACACAAGCCTTTACGGAGCAACCAAGAATGGCACCACCACTTGGGCTACCCAGAGAACCTACAGATAGCTCCAAAGGCATCAAGACACCCAGCCACTAGAACCAGTGTCGCAAGAGTGTTTTAACAGATGTATCGATTCAGGGAGCATAGACGAACGGCCACTACACAACAGATACCTCCACAAAGCGTAGCAGTGGAGACCAGTTATCCATTTCACCCCGAATCAGATCGGAGTCTAACATTTCAAGCTCCAGAACCAAAGGGGGTTCGGCTAGATAAAATTCGATGAGGCCGGCCGCGGTATGATCGTTGAAAGTTTCGTATTCCGTGGAGAAAGGTTACAACAATTATATGGTATAAGTCGACAACAAGTTGTCAGATAATTCTATAACTTTTTGTAGTGAGAAGTCCAAAATAGTGACACAAATTGCGAATAGTGACCCCCCCAAGTCGCTATCAGTGATATTATTACTTATACATAGTGGGGCTCCGACGCCCAGCGGCCACGCGGTCGCTCGAATGAATACAATAAAGTACAAAGAGATTCTTGGCGAGGCTCTTAGAAAAGCCGTAAATCTACCCGAGAAAATGAACGGAACAGCCAAGGCTGTCACGACTCTGACCTCGACTATTGGTTCTCTCTCAAGCGCCAATATATCACCAGCTGGGATGCACACCCGCTTCCAAACCATTAAGCGCAAGCTAACACCAGGCGCTTCTCCAAATCCAGAGAGGAAAAAAGCTAACCCTAGCAAGAAGGATGACATCTCCGAAACTAGATACAATGGCCGATCAAATCGTTTCGGACTCCTCGCGGACACGCCAGCTAATTTAGAAGCTGTCCTTGTAAGGACGAGCCGCCAAGCTGCTATTGCTGCGCAGCAGACGGCTGCTATTAGCAAAGCGCAACCAAAACCACCACCAATTGTGCTTGAAGGCGTTAACGACGTCAATTTGCTGATGTTGGGCATTAAAAGAGTGGAAGATATTAGCAAGGTCGAAGCTAGAGCATCTCTGGGTGGCGTCATGGGACTTTACGCTGCAGATGCAAGCACGTTTCGAAGTATCGTCAGCTGGCGTGAGGACGAACAATACGAGTTCCACTGCTATCAGCTTATGGAGGACTACGGTCTGAGAGTAGTAGAGTCTGCATAAAAGGTCTTCACCATGGCAC